AACTAGTGGAGCAAATTTTGGATTATTTTTTGTAATCTACGTGAGTTTGTGAAGAATAAGTGTGGACGAGACTATTTGTTTTGAGAGTGAGGCGGGTTGTATCTTCATTGCCAATTTGTCGTTGGTCTTCTAAGAAAAAAATGAAGGCAGTTCATCATTTCAAAAAACAAAAAAAAAAAGTATGGAAAATTGAAAGAATGAAATGGAAAAATGGAGGATATATGTTTGAAAAAGAAAGATATTGCTGAAAATTTATGAGAAAATGAGAAAGAATCAACAATTGATTTTGATTTGAAGTTACTTCTAAATAAATGAAGTAAAGGGAAATTCTGGTAATACTGAGGAAGCATTCTGTACTTTTGAGAATGATAGTCATGTTGGAGCCTCAATAGGATGTGTTTTTTAATGGAAATTGAGGGTGTTGGATTATTTGTATTTATTTGCTCCTCTAGTTTGAAAGCTCTTGTTTAAGCTACTTTCCTAAATATTCTCTACCTTAACCCTAGCCCCATTACAACCTGTGGAAAATCCTTGTGATTTGTGTAATGCAAGACTCTTGTAGTGGTGATTGAGAAGATATGCAAGCCTATAGTAGAGCAATTTTATAGGAATGAACTTGAGTGAAATTTATACCCATCAAACACTTGAGTGATGAGTGATATTCCTGTGAGGGCTTACTTATTTAGTTCTCTTCAATTTTCAGACAGGAGTGCTAACTTATTAATTGCAGTGTGCTTCAGATTGCTGTTCATGATGTGTTATGAGTTTTGGGAATTTCTTTTATTTTTATTTCGCAAATAATATTTTTGCTTGGGGACAAGCAAACATTTTGACAAAAAAGAGTAGTTAAACCAGAAATTTGTTGTTCAAGAGCAGAAATATTTACCTCATTCACTTGCTTAGAAGGTTGGACAAGTCTATTTCCAAACTGTTGAGAATTTGCATCCATGTTTGCAATTAGAGTTCTTGCATCGTCTGGTGTCTTGCCAACTAAAGCACCACCGCTTGCGGCATCAATCATACTTCTATCATTGAAAAAAGTCATTCATAAAAGTACTGAATGAGTAATTGATCACTGATTTGATGGTGTGGGCAACTTGCACAAAGTTTCTTGAAACGCCCCCAATATTCATACAGGGATTCTCCATTGTTTTGCCTTATACCACAGATTTCCTTTCTAATGTTGGCCGCCCTTGAAGCTGGGAAATATTTTTTAAGGAACGTTGTCTTCAGGTTATTCCATGTAGTGATGCTTCCAGAGGGTAAATAGTATAGCCAATCTTTCAAGGAAAAGGGGAAAGCTCTCAAGTTGATTTGTTCTTCAGTAACCCCTGTGTGTTTCATATTTGAACACACCACATGTAATTCCTTTAAGTGCTTGTGAGGATCTTCACCTGCAAGTCCATGAAAAGAAGGCAAAAGATGAATTAATCCTGATTTTAATTCAAATTGTATATTAGCATCTAGAGCGGGAAAAGTAATGCGTAAAGGTTGCTGATCCAAATTTGGGGCTCCAAGCTCTTTCAAAGTCCGATTTTGAGCCATGGGTTCCTCTTCTAAATAAGAAATGGCAGAAGGTTGGGGATCCGTAGCCATATCACTAAACTCCAATTTCCTCAAAGCTTGTTTCCTCCACCTGCGTACAGTTCTTTCAATTTCTGGATCGTACGGGAAGATTTCTTGATTAGCGGATCGAGTTATAGGCATAAACTATGAAAGATAATGAAAGAAAATATTTTTTTGATTAAAAAAACAAATAAATAAACACAAAAAAAAATCATTCAAAAAAAATAAACACAAAAAAATAACCAAATAAATAAGTGAACACAAAATAAACAAGAAAGTCTCCCCGGCAACGGCGCCAAAATTTGGCTAGCTGTCGTAGGCTCCCAAATTAAAACCTTTCAAACGTAGTAGCGAGAGTAAGGATCGGTCCCACGAGGAGTAACTAGTTTAATGTATGTGCTCAAATTAAAGGAAAGGGGGGCTTGGTATGAAAGTGATAATCAAAGTAAATAAACGAATAAAGTAATGAAAACAATATATTGAAACATTTTAATAGAAAACCTTGGTTAGTAAAGATCCACCACCGGAATTTACACTGATCATTGATTCAAAAAGTAATTAATATGCAGTTGAATATTTGCCTTGAAATTATTTCATTTCCGTTTTCCCTTAGTTATATGTAACTAAAGCACACGCGGTTTAATTACCCCTAACTACTAAATAATCTAAGACAAGCGCTATAGATTTATTTAACAACAGCAATAGGAACTAGGAAAACCGACAAACTAAATAATACAAGCACAAGCGGTTGCATTTAATTTAGGAAAATATTCTACCCGAGACCAATTATCACTAAGCCGTCATTAATTAACCTCAGTTGCTACTGAATATTAGAATAATTTGTAGCACAACATTAACTTATATAGCAAATAATTATATCAAATAAATAACTGTAGGCCTCCCTAGCAATTAAATGATATAACTATTCAAATAATTTAGAAGAATATTTAATATTCAAATGCATAAAAACATATATAATAGAAATAAATAAATAATCTTACAGCATAATCAATTCCGGGGCTTCAATTCACTAAACCAGGCTAACGAAATTAGCCACGAATGGACATTGATAACAACTTTAAAGAATAATCGAGAGGGGAGGAATGAACATTTTTCAATACTACTGCTATCATTTATTTATAGTATTCTCAAAATAAGCTTAATTCATTTTCTACCATTCAATCCCTATTTTTGCTCGCTGCAGACCAATTCTTCTGCAATTCTTGTGAAATAGCGCTTGAGGAAGTCAATTCTCTTACACCATGTGTGTGATACCCCGTAATCCAAATTCAATTAAGGGATTAATTTAGTAATTAACCCTGATCCAATTGGTAATTTAATTCCTTAAATTCCTGAAAATTTAATAGTCGGGGACTAGTAATTGACTAGTCAACCCAAAGTCAAGTGTTGTACCTAAAGCTTTGTGAATAGTTCCCTTGTTCCCTTACACTTTTCATCTTAGTAATGGTAAAGAAGACATTTTCCTTGTAATGGTATTCCAAGCTAACCTACGAAACACATTTCATTTTTTCCCAAACACTTTCCAAATCAACAGCTCTACCTTCTCTCTAAAAATCTAGCTAGCTTTCTCTCCAAGCTAAGTTTAGGGTTATCAAGATCTCCAAAGTTTGCCTCCAAGATTCCACCTTTCCTACTCTTGAGCATCTAGGAGGGTAAGATCTATGTTCCTTTTGTGTTTTTAGTATTTTCTAAGGTACCTTTTTCTAAAGGTGAAATCTTTATGACCTTTTGGTGTGTTCTTGAAGTGGGTGTGGAAGGTGAACCTTGTTAGGAGCTTTGTGAAGTGTTTTAAGTGAAGGTTGAGTCTTCAAGAGGTAACCCATGCTCTACAAAAATCTATTTTGTTTACCTATATGATGATTTATTGGATTCTACATGTGATTTTGCTATGAAATGTGAGTGTTGATGCATTGTCTTGTGAAAATGCATATCAAGAGCTTGTTATTAGGGTTCTTGTATGCCATTGCTTGGCTATTCCTTTGATTCAAGTCATTTTGTTATATTTTGTGAGATTTGGCATGTTTTGGACTTGAATTTGAGCTTGGAGTTGAAAATCCCCGAAGGGATTAATTTTGGTACAGGTGTGTACCCATGGGCGGAACGGCGGGTAATGCACCACCCGCCGCCCCACCCGCGGGGTACATGGTGATGTGGGTGTGGTACCCGCGGACGGTACCATGGGTGGGGGTCCACCCGTGGCCCCACCCGCGGGGTACATGATGTGGTTGTTTGGGGATTTGTTCCCTGTGATTCTTTTGACTCGGTATTTGGTCTTTTGACTTCCCGATGTTCTTTTGTGGAACGATTTGAGCGTCTTCTTGATGTTTCGTATGTCTAGAACTATATGGTAGGATTCCATGTAGGTTTTGGTGTCTTGAATCGTGCTAAGTTTTCAACCTTGTGATTCGTTGAACCGTGATGAGTCTTGTGTGTTCTTCAGAACTATATTTGGTTTACCCGTTTGATAAGCATGCTAGTTCGGTGTTTAAATGCTAGCATGTGTGTTGTTTGTCCTTTCCTATTGTGGATGATGACTTGTGTTAATCGTCATTGGAGTCGGATTGTGATCCATTCCTTGATTGAGTATGGTTTCATATCTTTGTTGTGATCCGTTGATTGATTCCTATTGTGGTGTGGTGTGTGTGGCTGTACCTGGATTGCACGATTAATGGTATAGGACATTAGTTACCAAGGTAGGGTAGTGGTCCTCATGGTGGCCATGACGCGATTATGGAGTTTGTGACCTGAGTGATGGGTTCACGTATTTCTTGGGAGGCATGTGTTGCCATGTGTGTGATCGGTACCCTCGTGTACTATGAATCGGTGGTCTTGTTGGTGCTCGTTGGTGGATGGGGACGACGGTCCTCGAAGGGAAAAGGTTGGACTTGGTTGTACAGGGGTCCTGGAGGTAATGGTTGGAACTAGACATAAGGTTGGGGGTAGCCATAAGGTTGGAACCGGGCATAAGGAAGGCATCTCAATTCGTGATGGGTGATGTCACGAAGGCATGTATTGCCATTGTTGTGTATTTCTCTATTTGTGACATGTGTTGTCACAAAGGCATGTGTTGCCAATGTGTGTGTCCTCATTCTCTTGAATTATGCATGTCGGGTGATATTCTACTGTGTGATGGTAGAATACGCCTTGAGCCGTTCTTGGGTGTCGTTGTCACTTGTCACTTCTTGTTGTCTTGGGATGTGTTCCCTTATCCTTGTTGTGAGTGCATAGAGTCTTGTGTTTGACTTCTACTCTTGGCTTTGAACTTATATATACTATATCCCGTTTCGCAAATCATTTTGTATATATATCCTATCTATGTATGATATTTCACATGTATTGGTGGGTTACCAGCATCATTCGCTGACCGGGCGTCGTCCCATATATTTATGTGTTTCTTTCAGGTGCCGAGTAGAGGCGAGCGCGATCTAGAGACGGATAGAATAGATCCCTCAGTCCTTGTAGTATGTTTTGGCCTGTGTGCCCTTTGCTAGACTTTAGACTTGTTGTTGTTGACCTTGTTCCTTTATAGACATATTATGTTGATGTTGTTTACGCCTGTGCGTTTACCGTTGTGTGGACGTGGCATAACACTCTACGTTTTCCATCTATTTATCAGTTAGACTTCTGTTGTGTATGCTTTTATGGTTAGATTATCTGCATGATTAAGTTTTAAATTGGTATGGAAATCGGGGGTGTTACAATGTGTCTGTACGTAGGAATTAGAAAGAAACAATGCAAATATAATGTTTCATTTAGTTGTCTTCATGCTTTGGAAAGAGGCTCCACCTTAACTATATAATATTGTTTTATTAATCAACCCAAATTTAACATCCAAGTTGGACCCATTTCTAAAAACATAATAAGTGTCAATACAAGTTATGTCCTTGATTTTTGTCCCTTTTTTATATGCTAATAAATATATACATTTTTGCTTTAATTGTTGTACATTCATTTACATTGGACAAAATCACCCTTACACCGTTATAACACCGTTAGTTTTTAATATATCTATCAATCTTACCATACACCTACATCTATCATATCTTTTTCCTATTTTTAATTATCATTTTATTAAAATTATCATATAACAATTAATTTAATTATAAATTATATTTTAATTAAATATTTATATGAATGTTAAATTATATATGTGTATCATATATATACATATATATATATATATATATATATATATATATATATATATATATTATTTGTGTATCCATATCAATATATCATATATGTGAGTCTTAGCATAGTATTATTTGTAAATTATTATTATATAAAAATATAATTTATTTTTTTTTTTGTTTTGATCACTATATTATTCAAAAAATATGATAATTCAAAAGTATCATCACTTTAAGAAATTGCAAAACATAATTTTAACTAATTTTTAAAATTTTGTTACATACAAATATTTTAATATTGGGCATAAGTTTTCGCGCATCGCGCATACAAAATGCTAGTACTACTTATAAATATAATAAATATAAACAAATCTTAATTAGCTTTTTAAGTAAATGAATACAAAATAAATGATAAATCATTTTATTAAATAAAAATTAAATTATAATATAAATTAATAACTATAACGCACATATATAATAATAATAATATTAATCAAATTATTAACTAAATATTATTATAAAACACTTATTTAACTAATTAATAATTAAATTCAAAAAATGAAATAATTATTATATAATTATAAATAACTAATGCAAAATTATTATAAAGATGTAAATAAAATAAGAGTGTAAAATATGTCCGTCAGTGTTACAAGTTGGTATCAGAGCGGTACGAACCACGGGAGACTTAGGAAGTTTGACCTTTAAGATTGAGTGTAGAAACTCTAAGTGAAAGTCCTAGGAACGACAAGTTAAAAAAAGACCACTAAGTTGAAGTCCTAGGAAGGGCAAGCTAAGAAGAGAACTCTAAGTTATGAAATCTGAGATGAAAAGGACTCTAAGTTCAGTGACTAAGTATGAGAATCGGAGTTAAGAAAAAACTCTAAGTATCAGTTAGGAACGCGGTGAGGTTGTGAGTTTCCTTACGCTTGCTTAACTGCTTATATGCTTTATCAATGTGTTTAAAGTGCGGCTTGCTTATCTTTTGAAAGTAAAGTAGAGAAGTTAAAAGTGAGAAATTGAAAGTGAAAAACCAAGAGTTTGAAAGTTGAAAGTAGAAGTGAAAGCTGAAAGTGAAAAGCTAAGAAAGCTAAAAGTTGAGACTTCGAAATTTAAAATAGAAAGCAAAAGTTAGAAGTTAAAGTATGAAAGAAAAACTTTGTGAAGTTGTTAAACGTAAGAAATATAGAAGTTTATACTTGTTTCTTGTTTGTGTGCTTTACTTGCTGTGAGCCTTACCTTTGAGAAAATAAAAGTTAAAAGTTGAAAGCTAGAAGTTAAAAGTTAAGAGTTAAAAGTTAGAAGTAGAAAGTTGGAAGTAGAAAGTTATGTGATAAGTATAAGAGTTATACTTGCATCTTGGCTGTGTGCCTTGACTTGCGTAAAGAGATAGAATGAGACAAACGTTAGTGATTGAGTGTTTTCCCTGTAGTATCGTAATGGCGCCAAGATAGAATGTTTGGATTCGGGGCATTCATGGAATGGACCTTCCTGCCCTCGGGGCACATCAGATTCAAGAACGCATGCAAAGCCAAAACAAGAGAAAAGCTAAAGAAGACACGAAACAAGTAGAGAAGAAGTCAAGACATAGCCATCACGATCAAGTCAAGGGTTTTTGAGGAAACCATGGCACGGTGGACGGAAGATCGCCCAAGTCAAGGGCCAAGTAACAATAAGAATGGAGGAAGACACTACCATTGTAAGAAGTGCGGGAAGGATCACCCAAGGACCCAATCAGGTGCTTCAAATGTGGAAAGGTTGGGCATCGAGCCTATGAATGCTACGCAAACCAAAAAGGGAACGCCTTTGGTGATGATATACTCTTAAGAAATGCTCTGCATATTCCATCCTTTAAATTCAGCATCATATCTGTTAACAGATTACTTCAAGCTCACCCTATATGCTAATGTTTATATCTGATCAATGTTTCCTTCGGGGGAGTCATGGGAGGACAATTAGTTTTGCTAGAAAGGAGAAGGGCCTATATCTGCTGCTTATATCACCAGAAACTTGTTCTAATTCTCATACACATTTTTCTATGCAATGTAGTGCTCAAATTTGGCACCAAAGGTTAGGGAATTTCCCCTTGAATAAAATACATCTATTGCATGATATATATTTGTTTCTTCTACAAAAGGCTTAGCCTGTGATGCCTGTCATTTTGCAAAACACAAGAGGTCTCCTTTCCCAGTGAGTAACACAATGTCAGAAGCCATTTTTGAGTTTGTACATGTCGACATTTGGGGGCTATTCTTAGTTCAACCCTTGAGTGGGGAACACTATTTCTTGACTATAGTGGATGATTACTCGAGGTACACATGGGTTCATTTAATGAGGAACAAGTCTGAGACTCAAAACTTGATTAAGAAATTTCAAAGGTTTGTTGGTACTCAATTTGGCCTACCTATTAAAACTATCCGGAGTGATAATGGCTTAGAATTTAACATGAGTTATTTTTTGCTGAGAATGGCATAGTCCACCAAAGGTCCTGTGTGAACACACCTTAACAAAATTCCATAGTGGAACGCAAACACCAACATATATTGAATGTAGCGAGATCCTTGTGTTTCCAAGCAAGCTTACCTCTAGAATTTTGGGGCCAGTGCGTGTTACATGTTGTTTTCTTAATAAATCGTCTTCCATCACCAGTTATTAAGTGGGAGAGTCAATACCGGAGAATATATGGCAAGGATGCAGACTTGAAGAACTTAAGGGTCTTTGGTTGTCTTTGCTACGCATCTACACTGCCCCATGCTCGCCATAAGATGGCACTTCGAAGTCGAAAATGTGTTTTTATTGGTGTTCCTACAGGTGTGAAGGGCTATCTAATGTATGATGTGCACGATAAATCTACCTTTATCTCTAGAGATGTGGTGTTCTACGAATCAGAGTTCCCTCTTTCTAAGAAGAAGCATCATCCACATTTCGATCCTTCACTGCCAATTGTTCCAGTTTCCAACTATGAAGAGTTTGATTTCCAGAGAGCCACAAGCAATCCATCATCTGAGAATATGAGTCCTAGAAGTCCATGCCAGACAAATGTCGAACCTATGGCTGACGGCAGTCCCTCAATTACCAGACAAACACACACTGAAGTTGACAGAGTTAATGTTGATATTTTACCAAACTCTGTGCATGATGGTGTTAGCAGTTTTAATGACACCTGCTTGAATAGAGCTCCTCCAGAATTATCTACACAGCAGCCTCGCAGATCAAACAGAGAACGCCATCTGCCTAGCAAGTTGCATGATTACTATTGTGACGCAGCTATGCAAAACGGAACCTCGCCCCATTCTCTTTTGAAGGTAGTCTCTTATGATAATCTTGAACATTCTCACAAAGTGTTCTCTATGGATGTTTCTTCTATCAGTGAACCTAAGACATACAATCAAGCAGTGACACATGACTGCTGGAAAAAAGCCATAGAGGTAGAAATCGATGCTTAACAGATGATCCAAATATGGGAAATAACTGAGCTTCTTCCCGGGAAATTTCCCATAGGATGCAAATGGGTATACAAAACTAAACTTCGTGTAGATGGAACCGTGGAGAGGCACAAAGCGAGGCCCGTAGCCAAGGGCTACACACAGCAACTAGGGGTAGATTATCTGGAAACATTATCCCCGGTAGCAAGAATAACCACCATTCGCACGTTCCTCGCAGTTGCTACTTCTAAAGCATGGCACATACATCAAATGGATGTAAACAATGCTTTTTTACACGGAGATTTGAATGAAGAAGTGTATATGACACTGCCACCCGGCTTCCAAAGTACAAGACCGAACTAATTCTGGCATTTATTGAGATCTTTATATGGCCTTAAACGGGCGAGCAAACAGTGGAACGCAAAATTAAGCGAGGCATTAATCAATATTGGCTTCATACAATCTTCTTCAGACCCAACTATGTTCACAAAAGGATCCGGTAATGATTTTATAGCCCTGCTTGTGTATGTCGACGATATTCTTGTTACTAGTGCCAAATTGAATCTTATTCAAGAGCTAAAGAGGTTTCTGGATACAACTTTCAAAATCAAGGATCTAGGTTCACTGGGGTTTTTTCTGGGAATATAGGTGAAATCATCAGTAGAAGGTCTGAACATTTGTCAACGTAAGTATGCCCTAGACATACTACAAGAAGCGGGATTTCTTGGCTGTAAACCTGCAGACACAGCCATGGCCCATGGTTTAAAATTAAATCATGATGATGGTACTCTCCTTGATGATGCTAGTAGCTCTAGGAGACTAATAGGCAGGTTGTTGTATCTTACAGCAACAAGTCCTGATCTTACTTACACTATTCAAAAACTGAGCCAGTTTATCGATGCCCCCACAGACAAACATCTCTCAGCAGCGCATCGAGTGTTGAGGTACATCGTCAAAGGTTCCCCTGGCCAAGGTCTCCCCTACCCTGCTAACTTGGATACTCACCTCAATGTTTTTGCTTATTCAGACTGGGCCACTTGTGCTAAAACCCGGAAATCTGTCACTGGTTATTATGTGTCCCTAGGTCCTGCATTGATATCATGGAAATCCAAGAAACAAGCAACGGTGTCTAGATCATTTTCCGGAGCTGAATATCGTGCATTGGTTGCCTCTGTTTGTGAGGCTCAATGGTTGATTTATCTGCTTAACGACTTACAGGTTGAAACAACAAGGCCAGCAACAGTTTATTGACTGAAAATTATGTGTTTCATAAACGTACAAAACACATTGACATTGACCGTCATATTGTGTGAGAAAAGCTAACCAAAGGGGTGTTCAAACTCTTATCTGTTTCTTCATCAAATCAAGTTTCCGATGGATTCACTAAACCTCTTCCGGCACCTTTGTTTCACACTTTCACCTCTAAACTGGGCATACAAAATTTGCATGCTCCAGCTTACGGGGGTATTGGAAGACAAGGCAGAAGAAGGCTATCAAGGAGGAAGATAGCTTTAAAGGGCTCTATTGTCTTTTCCCTTCTAAGTCTGTTGTAACTGTATTTTCTCCCACTCACCACCTTTATATTCTTTGTATATTCATCTGCTTCAATCAATCAGATATTCTGCTTTGGTTAGTTTCAATGAACACTCTCCTCTTCCTTTACACTGATCACCATCGCTAAGCTCCAACAAACACCGAGTTCACTTCCGTCTCCATCGCCATATAACTCTCTCCTTCTATCTCTCTTTCTTCTGCTTATATTCATGTCTGTGTGATGATCTTTCACCGCCTCTGCATTTATCACCTCTCTCCACAGAAACCTAGATGGTGTCTTCTTCCTCTCTGTGTATATATATGTGTGTGTTCAAAGGGAGCTTTTGTATGTTGGAACTGAGGTGGTCCAGTGATCCACTTGGCTTGTAAAGTGAAATCCAAAATTCTTGTGTTTTTCTGAGAGGTGAACATGTTTCTTTTGGTAGAGTTTAGACAGATGTGCTCGGTTTATCATTAGCTAAAGGCAGGACGGAGCCAGAAATTCGGTTGAGGGAGGGGAGGGGGGGGGGCGAAACAGTACAGACGGATTCAGAATTTTTTTCTAGAAAAGGCGAAACATTAAAACAAAAGAGATAATTTAAAAATAAATAAATAAACTACCTAAGAAATATAATTGTAAATATTGTTGGTTATGGACGAAAAATAAAACACATCGAAACTTTATAAAAATATTCATAACAAAATATGAAACATAATTAATAAAATAATTTGAATAAAAAACACATTATAAATTACACATCTTATTATAGAGTGTGTGTGTGTGTGTGTAATATTAAAAAAACTATTAAAAAGAATTGTAAAACTATGTTGATGCAAAGATTGTTACCCTTAACCTCATTATTACAAAAGTTGTGCTCTACCACCTACTCTAACTCGCTTCTTGTTAATATTTTATACGTTTTTTATAATAATACTAAAACATGTACTATATATACATATATACATACAAATACTATATATGGGGTGGGGGAGGGGGTGGGGGTGGGTGGGGTGAGGGGAGGCAGCCGCCCCCTGCCCCCCTCTCCCTCCGTCCCTGGCTGAAGGTATTCTATGGAGAACTGGCTGGTTTGTTCACATGATATATGATAACCCGAAAGCTTTCTTGAAAGTTTTGTTTGTCAGATGAAAATATGGTATGAGCATTGTGAGTTAAATTTGGGCTGTAGATAATGATCCGGTGTTATGTAGTTCAATTCTAGCAACTGAGCGTGATTTTAAGCCATTGAAATACTAAATTGGTGCCTCCAACGATACACCAAACCAGAAAACGAGTATGAAGGAAGATCAACAACATCGAGTTTTCTGTCATTCGAGTCTTTGTAAGGGGGAGGTTGATTTACTTAATTTTCTTTGAAGAGAAAGCGGAGTTTGATTCCAATGATCCCGAGTTTGAAACCTCCCCACTTAGCTCATCTGTTGATCGTAAAGATCAATTTTTCTCTTCTGATATATCATCTGCAGCAGCGTTTTCGCACTTAGAACATGACAACAGTGTTATTAAGTGTGAGCTCCATGACTTATGTTAACAGTTAACTGTTTACAATGTTGTAAAAGATATATGTGTCGATGAGGGGAGACTAGTTTCTCTGCAGCTGGTTCTCTCTCGGCTCTAGTTGCATACTAGGGGAACATTTCTCTTCGTTCATCCAATTTCTAAGCTCAACTGAATCTGTTGTCCTAGGAGTTGTGAAAAACAAAAAAAAAAAAAAAAAAAAAGTAGAAGTTGAAGACCAGCCTCGGCCAGTCCTCTGCCACCCGGTTCGACTCGAGTCTAGAGAAAAATAATTTTTTTAAAAAAATAAAATTAAAAATTATTAATAATTATTATTATACAAAATTAAAACAAACAAAAAAATTCCTAGCCAATTTACTTCTACCTTGTAGTCAGCGAACAATGGACCGGTGACAGAATATTCAAGGAGTATGCATTTTTATTATATACTCCCTAGCTAATTTTACTATGCTCGTAGCTCGGGTTTAGGAGGCTGGTGATAGAGTAATTGGATAGGACACTAGACCCTTGACCCGATGATATTGGTCTAACTGAAGAAGTCAAAGAAATTAACACAGTCATTGCTTGTAACGGTAAAGTAGAGAGCAATTATTAGGATCGGAGTTATGAGGGGCAAGTACAATTATGGAGGGAAGCGCACAACAGTTACTTAGGAGTCAGCCGTTGCACTTAGTAGGAGACCGTTGTGCATTTATAGTAACCGTTAAAAGTTTATAGTATAGAGGATAAGCCCATATCACTGAAGAGGGAGACACGCTCTGAAAATATGGTACTCTGAACATAGCAATACAATTGTTATACTTTTTTCATAATATACTTCGATACCGTCAACTTGATTAATTTTATTATTCAAATTATTGTTATTATTTCAGATTATTAATGAAGAGTTGAGGACCACTACTTACTACTTGAGAGTTGAAATTTTGAGAATTGAAGATTTGAAGTTCATTTTGTTTTGTTTTGTACTTATGTTTAGTCTTTGGACTCTGGAGGAGTTTGAAACAATTTAAAGTGTTTGAACATTTTATGATTATGTATTTATGTTTGAAAGTTGGGACTTTGGAAATTTGGATATTTGTAGGAATTTTAGAGTTTGAATATTTTAATTTCATTTTGGATTTGGACTTTGTTTAAGGATTCAAGGCTTAACATTATGAATTTTTGATAATATTAGTCTATTTTTTACGTTAGCATAATTCAAAAAAGGGGATGGGTATTCCTTGTTTCCCAAAAATCTTCGTGGGGATGGGGTCGGGGATTGGAGAGTTATTTCGGGGGCGTGGATGGGGACCCCATTCCCCGCCCCCCCTGTTTCCATCCCTAACCCCAACACTCACAAGCAATTATCGGAGGTGCAAAACGATTAAGAAACCGCATCGGTGGCGACCAAGAACAACGAAATTGCTTCCCAAGAATCCGGCGAACTATCTCTAATTGAATCTTAACACCATTTAATTTCACCCTTTGCACCATTTAATTTCATCCTTCGCTCAGCTCTTTCGCCGCCGCTATCCACCCAAGAATTCTTCCTCAATAAAATATACATATGGCATTCTAATTTGTTGTTAACCTACTAAAAATGCTAATTGCTCTTTATTTTCAGATTCATGGATGAATTTGGAGCTTATTCGAGTTCGGTAGCTTAATTGTTATCCACAAATAGTTTAATGGCCTATTTGTACATTTTTCTCATAATAATATAATTACATATTTACATCAATCATATAACATATCAATTTTTTCAAGATAATTGCAGACAAACGAGTCATATATTATTCAATTAATTGAGTGATACTTTTTCACTAATCTTATAATTAAATAAAAAATATACACTTTCAAATATTAGAATTGTTTATAATTTTGTCCTTCATTTTATTATCCTTTATATAATAAAGCTATATGGTTTGGGAAATAATTAATGTTACAATTAATGTCACAACATCCTTTATTATTAAAAAAAAAAACACAACATTTAAAAATTAAAATAGCTATATATTATATAAGGGAAAATGACACTTTTTCCCCCTGAGTTATATACTTATAGCACTTTTTCCCCCTGAATTATTCATGTAAGCACATTAGCCCCCTCAATTATTTTAAAAGTGGCAGTTTGCCCCCCTAATATATTTTATTGACATTTCTACCCTTAAAGTAAACATTTTATTTATTTCCTTTTCAATAAATTATTGCGTATACATAGGGATGACCACGGTTCGATTCGAATTGAACCAGACACTATAGCAATCGAAGTAAAAGTTTCCGGTTATGATTCAGATCCAGAACCCAATATTTTAATTTCAATTCATTAAAATCATGAATCGAAAAAACTGAATCCTGAACCGTGAACCGGCGGTTCTAGATCCGTTTAGCGATTTTGAACCGTCTTTATTTTTAAAATTTTAATTTTTTATTTTAAAATAGTCTAAATTCAACAATAAATGTATTTTATTTTTTTCAGTTTGGACCATGAACCGGCCGTCCCGGTTCACGATTTTAATAAAATCTAAATATCAGGTTTCGATTCTAAATTGTAATTAGAATATTTCGGTTTGATTTCTAGAGTGTCTATTTGGTTTGAACCAACTTGTGGTCATAATTTGTTAGAGAAAAAAATAAATGAAATATTTATTTTAAGGGTAAATATGTCCATTTAACATTTCAGGGGGAAAAACAGCCACTTGAATAATTCAGGAGGGAAAAGTGCTATATGTATATAACTTAGGGGGGAAAAGTGCCATTTTCCCATTATATAATCATATAAAAAATATACTTTTGAAAAATAAAATAGCTATATATTATATAATCATATAAAAAATGTGTTCAATTAGAGTTTAAATTTACACATACAAAATTTGAAATTTGCTTTCAAATGTAATTATCTTAGTTATTATTCGTATTGTGAAAATTATAATATAGATGAAATGCAATTAAGAATAAATCAATGTAATTATGTAAATTCTCTCTAAGTTTATTTGAATATGCACATAATTAGAGATTATATTAACCATACAAAATTATAATTACAATTTTAATTGTAATTTTGTATTCTATAAAAATAATAAATACTTCGACAAATGGAAGCTCAAAAATATTATTATATTAAAAAATTTAAAATATTTTAGTTTTTCTGTTTTTTATTTATATTTATAATAACATAATTTTTTCCCGTGCATCGCGCGGGTGAATTACTAGTTTAAATATATAATACAAAATTTTATCCGTGCATCGCACGGGTAATCTACTAGTTATGTTTATATTGTAAGTACATTGGAAATATTTAAATTCAAAATTTTAAATCTCGTGTGGTATTCAATAACACAATATTTTATAATATTTTTTTGATAAAATTTTATTACGATCAATATAAACAAACAATTCAATATAGCAATGGATTTTGAGGATTAAAACATTATTCTATCATTTAAAAAATAAAGTATATCAACAATAAAGTTATTTATTTTTACACCCTGCATCGCATGGGTAAAATATTAATTTAATATATTAAATTTTGAATATTCAATAGGTAAATTGTGTGTTTTAGGACCGGCCCACAAAGAGAATAAAAATTTGAGAAAGAGAATTGATATCCTTAATTATATGGTCTCAAAGAAGGCAGCAAGGCGCCTATTATATTGGTTTGCAAGGGTTTAGGAGAAGGAGAATTGGTATCACATAACAGAACGCAGCAGCCGAATGGATCGCCTCCAGGACGCCAAGTTGATGAAATTCTCCATCAAGAATCTGGACGAGAACTTGTTAATTGAAATCCTGGCCAGGCTCCCCAGCAGAACAGCTATCCGGTTGAAATTGGTATGCAAGAGCTGGTGTTTTCTTATCTCTTCTCAGTATTTTATTACTTTATTCAATCACCGCCGCCATGACACATCCCTTCCGCCAATTCATGATCCTCATTCCCCCTCCTCTGGCTTTATATTCCAATCTCAATTTGACCGCTGTTTGTCGATTGTTTCCTGTGGATACACCCACACCCACACCCACCCTGATGCCAATTTGTGCGGCTTTCGCAGGCTGGATTTAAGTTTCCTTCCCTGTCCCCAAGGTGGCATAACTGTAGTGCGTGCTTCTTGTGGTGATTTAATTCTATGCTCCACCAACATCTCCCAAACCCCCATGTTCGAATTCTATGTCTGTAATCTCCTAACCAAGCAATGGGCTGCTCTTCCTCCTGCCCCCCAACTCCAATTCACTCGGTGGGTCACTAAGGCCTATGGCATTCTTTGCCTTCCTGCTCCCTGTTCACTTTGCACCCAATGTGTAGACAATTCCCGCTATAATTTTGTGGTGGTTCGAATTTGTGTTTATCGAGGTTGGTATTCCCAAGTCGAAGTTCACCTCTTCTCGTCAGAGGAAGGTCAATGGAAAACTCTTCTGGTTCCAGTACCGCGGCGCATGAGGGTTCAAGTCCGTTCTTCTATATCCCTTGTTCCCTATAAAGGAATGTTACATTGGCTGACGTCGGATTTTATTCTTGTGTACGATCCCTATATTTGTCCTGAAAAATTTTCTCGTTTAATTGATATGCCAAATCATATGATGACGGCCAAGTATCAAAGCATTGGAATATTTCAAGATCGTCTTCGTGTAACACGTCTTGAGGGTATAGGCTCAGAATATCCCATACATCATATATCGGAGTTGGAGGACTACAACATGGAGAAGTGGAGTTTGGTGCACAAGATTTATGTTAAAAGAATTCTGCATTTCGCAAACCTCTTAGATCCTGATCTTGATCCTAAAATTAGAGAGACTGGATTTCGCCAAGGTGATGGAAGTGCTTTTTATTGGACTGATTCTGTTGGGTGGTCAGTTAGTAATGGGATTGCCCATTGGATTACTGAGCAATGGTGGCCAACACCCGTGCCTCCACCAACCTGCACCATTAAAAGTTAAAAACTATCAATTTCATTCAGTATCTTTCTAATGTTTTTTCCATTCTAGTTCCCTTGTGATAGCTGCCCTTTGCTTCTTATTTAATATATATATGGCATATAATTTGTTTAGCTGCTTGCTCGGTGGCTAGCCCATTTTATTTGGATTATAGTTGTATCAACAATATTAAATTTGGATCCTCACCAAAAAAAATATTGAATTTGGATATTCTTTTATTTCGATCCTAATATATTTACATGTTATAATTGCAGATAATAAAAATATTCTTGGGATTTCATAAAAAAAAAAAAAAAGGTGGATAGTAGATATAGAGTTTTGTTACTTCACCCCATCTATTGGAAAGAGACAAATTTGGAGATTTTTTTCTTTTTGTTTCATTAATTTTATATGGAGTTACATTTCTAAGTATTGTTTTATTGATCTACCCCTTTTTGGGTTTTTGGGATTCATGTAAATTGAAGGCTGTGTGAGAAAACACAGCTCACTTGACTCATTTTATTGATGATTAAAACAACTTTCATGATTTGTTAATGATGTGATATGATATGATAGTAATGGTGTCAATTGATGTTTGCCCCGTTTGGTCATTGGCCTTGTTTGGTGAGTGGTTATTAGCTAATAGCGGTTAGCTGATTGGATTAACTATAGAGTATAGTTGATAACATTAGCTAATTGTAGAAATGTAGGTTGTTTTGAGCCGCTTTTTAAATTTTAGCATTTTGGAGTTGATTTTTTAACCAAGTCAAACAATTTATAGTGGTCAAATAATCCAAAATTAACTGATACGCTAATTTTTACCAAACATGGTCATTGTGTTTTTTTATATCATAGCTTTTTTCACAAACTTACCTTGTACCCAAACCCGGATTCTTAGCTGTGCAGGTATAGTTTATAGCTAATAAAAAGTACATGTAGTTTAAGTTCCAAGATTCTTAGTTGCGCTGGTGAAGAAAATTAAAGTTAGTATCCACCTTTACATCAATGTTTCAATTGGGATGAGACATATGATGGTTTTGATGGTTCATTGGGAACACTTTCCTGCTCCCTTAGGGGTCTTTGGTTGGATCATGGATGTAGTTAGATTTCATTTCTTACTTTATTCTGTGGCACAAAATTGCAATTTTCTTCTTTTACTGAATTGCAATTTGGTGATTATGGGAAAGGATAACAAAAAAAGTGCGAAAAAGACAAAAGTTGTTATTGTTGTTGAAGTTGTTATTATTCTTATTATTATTACTACTACTACTTGTAATCATTATAAGAAAATAATAATATATATCATAGTAATAAAAACAATTTGAAATTTTAAATAGTACAAAAGATTCAATAAATCATTAGCATTCAGATTATATCACAAATTATTGAAAATTTCTTTATAAATAACATTATTTTAGTACCAGATTTATCGTATGCAGGTTGCGTCATTAACGAATGCCGGAAGCTCCAACGACACTATGAAATTGTGTTTATTAGTTTTATTCCACGATCAGTGACCCTAAATTTTATTTATTGTCATATCGAAATTGCTTCCTTTGGAAGTTGAATGCTAAACTCGGATCTGATATCTACAGAGATAACTACATGTTACCAAGCACAGTATGCAGTTGAATTTTTCCTTTTTTCGCCAGTCTTTTAGCCATGAAGCAATGAGGACATCAAGTAGTGCATTTTAATTACCAAATTTTCTTGAGTTCAGGCATTCTTACTGCACTTATCAAGCATGCTTAATTACCTAATTACATCAAGTGAAGCCTTGAACAGCTTTGATTATTCAACGTCCTGATTTGAGTGGATTAATAGTTTATGTTTCTCTTGTGATCTTTGCTTAATTTAATTTGTTAATCTACTAGCCTTCCAAATGTGTTGCTATCTGGTGGAGGCCTAACAATTGTGTACCTGTACATACTGCCCCCACACATCAAATCGCCACCAACTTCATAACAATTGTGTATCCATACTGCCCGCACCCATAACAAATCCAAGAGAAAATTCTTTGGAGCATTGACTGCACTCTTATAAAATTGTACGACTTCATTTGTCTCATTTTACCTGTCCTGTTTAAAATTCATTAGTTATACAAATTATAATTTAACAAATAAATAATACTTAACTAATAAGTATAAAAAACTTGTAAAACTCAATTACAACTATAACAACTTTAAAAACCTCCTAACAGCTTTTAGGTTTTTGCAGTCTTTTCTTTGGTAAGTTTCGCGCCCCCGGGGCTGATCTTGGCCATGGAGGCTGAGGTGGCGCCTCTGTAGCCTGTTGACGGATGGGGATATGGGGTTTTTAATTTGATGGAGGTGGGAAGGTGTTTTAAGCGTTTTAAACACACAAAGCACTCCTTTGTGGAAGCTATTGCCACCCATCCATCCTTCGGCGATGACGCTCCGAGAAGAGAGGAGGAAACAAATTGGTTTTTTGATGACATTCTGGTAGAAGAAGATAGCATTAATATAGTTTGTGAAGGGGAGGAGGAGATCCTGGTGATCACCTTTTCGAAAGAATACAGAGCTGATCTGATCAAGCTGTGGAAAAATGCTCTGTTGGTGAAATATCTGGGTAAGCCGATTACCTTTTCTCTCTTCCAAGAACGTATGCTACGGATATAGAACCCTCAAGGTAGGGTCGAATTTGTCGACGTCGGATCGGGGTGGTACATCACTCGTTTCCACCTCCAAACTGACTGTCTCCATGTTCTCGTTGATGGTCCATCGAAACTCATCGATCAATATGTGGTTGCTCAAAGGTGGAAACCGAAGTATAATATAACCAATGCTCGGCTTGAACGGATGGCGGTGTGTGTTCGGCTCCCGGCGGAGTACTTCAGAGAAGACACCCTCAAAAGTATCTTGGGTTTAGTTGACACTCCCTTGAAAATTGATTGGACAACTACAGGGGTTGAACGGGGGAAGTTTACAAGGGCTGCATGTGGAGATTTATCTAACCAAACCGCTTGTTGCTGTCATCAAAGTGGATGGTTTTCTCCAAAGAGTTGAGTTTGAAGGGTTGCATGTCATCTGCTTTGAATGTGGCGAAGTTGGCCACAAATCGGAGACATGCCCTAAACTAAAAGGTTATGGGGTTGAAGGGGATCAGGGAACCAATGGCGATCTGGAGGATCCAAATTCCATGCATGAGGACCACGCTAGGACGCCAACCCCCAAACCCATTGAGAAACATGGTACTTGGATGATTGTTAACAACAAAAACTATGCCAAACACAATCAGCAAAGTAAGGCTAAACCAAAAAAGAAATTGGAAGGGAAGAAAAACGTTCAGGGACCGCAGAGGAATCCACTTCAGGGCAAGGCCGATGACAAGCTAGAAAAGGGGGGAAACGCGTACAATGCGGAAGCCACCAGCATCGATGCGAGGCAACGACCAATAAACATTCCAGGTATGCAACCTCCCCCTATTCCAATCACAATTGATAATTCTTTCACATCTTTGTAGGACCTTGAAGGTCTCATAGAGACCCCCATCCTCCTTGAAGAAGAAACAAGGAGGAAAGGCAATCCAATGACAAAAACCAATACAAAACAGTCTAAGAAGAAAAAACAACAACCGATGAGAAATAGCTCCTCCCATAATCGTGATAGTAACGATGCTCATTCTAATCTGAGTAGGTTGTTTGTGTTTGGGAACTTCAACAATACCAATGCAGGTATGATGGAAACCTCGTCTTCTAGTGGAAGGGGCCTTGAAAATAAGCAGGCGCTCAGGGAAGGCGGTATCAATTCTTCCCTAGCCTCTAAATAATTTTTATCACTTGGAACTGTCGGGGCGTGGGGAACCGGATGAGGTTGAGACACGCCAAAATGCTTATGAAAGATAAAGAAGTGGAGGCGTTTTTGCTTCCTTGAGACCAAAACCTAGGATTGTGGTAAGCTCAAAACCATGGCTAACAAGTTAGGTTTTGACTCTATGTTTACGGTTGATCCTTTGGGGTTTGCGGGTGGTTTAACTCTCTTTTGGAGGTCTAGTATTTTAAATTTCAGGATCATGTATAACACATCCCAAGTGATACATGGCGTGGTG